GCAGAGTCTGTTAAACAAATGTTGACTACTGTTTGCATTTAAAATAAGGAAAACTTGCACAGGTTGAGTTGAAAGGATTTGACTGATACATGTATTAAGGTTTCCTGGAAGTCTTAGGAGTACTAGGTATAATCAGCATTTTCTATAAAGTCTAAACTTCATTATCAGTTTTTGTTTTGTTTTTGTAGGAATCATTGTTTTAATGTAAACTGTTAAGTTTTTGAGCTTTGGGGAAGATGTCTTCAGATCCATAGGTTAACATAAAGCTGAAAACTTATTTAGTAGAAACCTCACAGTTGGAAAAAAATAGCAAGTGTTTCAATTTGTTAAGAGCAAATTGTGAAAGATTGATAGTTTATTTTCTTTTAGAAAAGTAATACATTTTAAACTTTTGATTATTTCTACACTGCAGCTTTTATTCTCTTAGTGAAGTCACTGGGATTGCTTTATTGATGTTCTGTAGAAGGTAACTTCAGCAACTTTTGAAAGTAAATTTTCTCTTTTTCTCTTAATTAAAACAAATTTTCTGTTCTGTTTATAGAGTGTTCCAGAAATGGTTTTTCTAATTTTATGTTTGTTTACAATCTGTTAAGTTTCTCATACATCCTCATAATTAGAAGAATTCCTTTTGAGAATGCTGGTAGCATATTACAGAAGTGTTAGCTGGAGAAACAAAACATGGATTCTTATTTGTCAGTATTATTTGTCAGTAATTAAGAAGCTTAGTCGTTATTTTTTTTTTAAATTTTAAGTGAAGGTTTTTTTTCCCTCAAGATACTTCTTCCAAGCATCTGTAGATAAGCTCTGTATCTTTTCTTATGATATATTGGTAAAATCATAACTCGAACACTAGTTTGTAGAATTGAGAAGACATGGCTACACCCTTTTAGTTCTAGGATTTTGTTTGTATCATTTTTCCTGCAAACACCACATAGCATTTTTAGAACGAGAAGTACTATAGTGATGGTTCTCATGCTATGGGAGGTGTCCCTATATGGAATTTTCTCTCCCGAGTAATCTTTACCCTGTAATTATTCCCCAGATTTCCCCAGATATCTCTGACTGTTTATAGCCAAATAATTTTGATCTCATAAGCGTTTATTCATTTGAGTGTATTTATTCGTTACCCTGCTTAGTGTCGTTAAAATAACCAAGCTGTAAGGTCCCATAACAAGTATTTTGAAATTCTGATGAAGTTTTCACTGTTACTTTTTTTTTGTCTTTATTATTTTCCTTATATAATTTCTATTTAAGCCTTAATTTTCACATTTGCTTCTCTGTGTATAGGCAGACTTTTTAGATAACACCACTAATAAGTGTTCTAAATTGTAGGAATAGTGAGCAAAATAAACATGTTTTCCATTTTGTTCTCAGTGGTGATTTAAAGTTTCCAATTCCGACTTCATACCATAGAATCACTATTTTACACCCAAAAAAGACTTTAAAAATTTTATTGTGTCAAGCCCTGATTTTTACAGGTCATGAAGCATTGGCCTATTATGATTGCTTAAGCTAGCTGCAGAACCCCCTTCCAGTTGTATAACCATGAGAATCTTGGGTTAATCCCTGCCCCAATTTCAAATATAGCAAACAATTTGTTAGTATTAACATAAATGAAGCCAAAAAGTTATAACCTTTCATCAAGGCCGTAATCTTATTTAATAAAAGGCTTTAAAAAAATTCATCTAGAAAAAATTATAGGAACTCTTCATTTCTAGAGAAAATTTACTGTCAAGAAAACAAATGACCTCTCAGAACCTAATGCAGTATTGAGAAAGATAAAGACAAACACAATTTTACAAAAACTTTAGTCTCTGTCACCTGCAAAATGTCCCATGATAAGCTAAAATTGTAATGAAAAAACTAAATTTGTGTGTATTCAGTTGAGTACCATCCTCAGCTGGATATCAAGGGGCAGATAATTTAGGTTGTTAGGGAAAACACACTAACATTGATTTCAGTTGCACATAAGTTAGAGCATGATAATATGAAACTTCCTAATTATTCTCATTTAATAACCATATGTTTTATATAATGTATATATGTCTCTTAAACACATCAACAGATGTTGCTATCATACTGTGAGGTAAAACAATCAAGAGAAAATACACTGATTTCTTGTAAGATATTTTAAAGCCTTTTGTTGATTTGATATTACAGAAATAGTTTTTATCTTTTTCTGTTTTCTTTTCATAGTAACGCTTATTTATCATCAAAACCGCTTCATATTTGTAATAATTTTATAGAGTAGGAATGCCACGTCATATAATTTAAGTTTAAAAGGAGGGTATGAGTCCTCAAGGGTTTTTTTTGACTCTTGGTAATAAATAGTTTCTGACAACTGAGATTTAATTTAAAATGTTTTCTTTAATTCTCTCTTCAAAGGATAATCTTCCTAATTCCCTATATAATAACTGATCTTAAGACCCTTTTTTTTTTTTAACAACAACAAAAAAAGAGCAACGTGTTAGAGAAGCTCATTTCTGAGTTTAATGCCCACTGTTGAGCTTGTAGGGCTTATGCATGTGTGTGGTGCTGAAGCGCTCTCTTCTGGTCACTCCGCAAAAATGCGTCTTGCACATGTGTTCCAGATGCTGGTCAGTCCTGAGGGTGTGTATATGCTGTTTTAGCTCCCTGGTGCTGTGCTATACTTGATGGTAATTCAACACTACCAATTAGGAAATTAGTTCATGTTAAATTTTCTTTTCCTGATGTTATAGAAAATGATGATATAGTTTCTAAAAGAAGAAAAGCATATTCTTAATACAGTTTCTGTTATTAAAGGGAAGATAAATCAATCCTTTAACAGTTTCAAAATTCAAGATTTACTTAAACTACATAAATGACTTAAAATCAAACCATTTATACTAAAGTTATAAACACATCAGTTATAGGGAAAATCTTTTTCTGAGGACCTACTTGAATAATGATAATTATATTTTTTGTAGGAATGGTACATAATGTATTTTTAGGAAACCAGCAAGTGCTTTCCTTCCTAATAAAAATGTAGTTTTGGGGCAGCTGGGTGGCTCAGTCGGTTGACTGTCCCAACTCTTGGTTTCGGCTCAGGTCCGTAATCTCATGGGTCGTGAAATCAAGCCCTGTTTGGGCTCCACGCTCAGCAGGGAGTCTGCTTGTAGATTTTCTCCCTTTGCCCCTCCCCCCACTCATGCTCAAGCTCTGTCTCTCAAATAAATAAATAAATCTTTTAAAAAATGTATAGTTCTGAAACCTTCAAGAGTAACATGTAACTTTTTATGGTAGGCGCCACACCCAGTGTGGGGCTTGAACTCATGACCCTGAGATCAAGTCAGGTGCTCTACCTGCTGAGCTCTACAAGTGCCCTACATGTAACATTTTAAATTAAAGCATTCTTTTTTTGCACCTTTTTATATGAAATTTTATATATATTATAATTTTTATGTAAATATTATGATGCTAAGTTTGGGCTCCTTTATATTTCCTTTTAAAGTATGTCAGAAAGTTGATATTTCGGTATTATTTTCCAGAATTCTGCAATCAATAGTAGTGGCAATTATATAAACTGCAAAAGAAAATGTCATAAGTCATTAAAAGCTTCCACACACTTGGCCTTTAATATAGAAAAAAATCAATTATAAAAATATTTCTTCATTGTATTTTCTTACTCTATCACATATCATTTATTTTGTTGTTTTAGCAAATAAATTGTTGTTTTAAAATATGGAATTACACAAGTCGTATCTTAGTGTTTAGAAATGCATGTAAATGAAGCATTTAGCACATAGTATGTCTTCAGTAAAATTCTATTCCACTAAAAAATCTGTCCGATTTAATTTCTATTTCTACAAACCTTACCTTAGTAGAATTTGTCAGAATACAAGGAGATAGCTCATATTGTATCATGTTAAGTGGCTCATGATAGGAGGAGCTCCTGAAAGCAAGTTCTCCATGGCATATTTTTACTGTATTTTATTTATTTATTGCTTTATTTTTTGCCTCTACTACCAGAATGTAAATACTTTGGGAGCGGGGCATTATCTATTATTCATCACCTTATCTTCAGGGCCTATAGTTCCTGGCACATAGGAGGTACTCAATAAATCCTCGTTCAGTGTTATTGAATAACTAATATTATCAGTGGCATGGATATGTTTTATCTTTTGCATCTGAAAACAAATCTATATGCTTTTATTATTCTATTAAATTATAAAAGAAGGACTAGAGTTCTTATTGAGTAATTTAGTATCAGTCACTCAGTATATATTGTGGGAGTTATTTGCAGAAGGTCCAGTGATTGTGGACAGAGATACAATATTTAACTCTTAAACCTGAGAAGATAATATTTTGACTTGGAGATAGAAAATTGTTAATGAACAATAGAAGGCAAAATGTCAAATCTACTGCATCAAAAGAGAGTCAGAACTCTGACTTCCAAGTGTGAAGTTGTTTTTCAAAAAAGGATTTCTCATCCTGATTTTTAGGTTTGTAGACCTTCCCCCACTCTTGCCCCTGCCAGTTTTGCTGAACGTTCATTCTAAAATGATACATAAGTTTCTCTCACAGTTTGTTACATCTCTGTAGTAAACCAGAGTAATGGATTTAATCCTATCTGAATCTGTCATGGTGGGAATGACTTTTCAAAGCTATTTAGAGAAAATATTTTTTATTTTGCTTGGCAAATGTTTTATTTAAAAGAATGAACAATTGAGGAAGAAATAACTCAGAGAAGCAGCCCATAGAGACTGTGGACTCTGAGAAACAAACAGGGTTTTAGAGGGGAGGGGGAGGGGGGATTGGTTAGCCCGGTGATGGGTATTAAGGAGGGCACATACTGCATGGAGCACTGGGTGTTATACAAAAACAATGGATCGTGGATCACCACATCAAAAACTAATGGATCACCACATCAAAAACTAATGATGTATTGTATGGTGACTAATATAACATAATAAAATTTAAAAAAATAAATCAACAAGTAAGAAAATATGGGATATATGGAAATGTCACCTCTCTTCTAGGTACTCCAGGCCTTCACAGTCCCATGTTGGATCTGGATAATGATACCCGTCCCTTGGTGTTGGGTCATCTTAGTCAGACGGCATCACTGAAGAGGGGCAGCAGCTTTCAATCTGGTCGAGATGACAGTAAGTATCTCTCTCTGTCCCCCACTTTGTCTTTTAAATTTGTACTTGTGCAGTTTCAGGCATTTATCTCTTGGAAATTTTCCTAATTAGTTGTGTTACTGCTGCTAAATATTACCAACCTTCTTCATAGGTGAATGTTTATTCAACATACAGAGTTAAAGTCTAGTTTTATTTTTCCTGTGATTGACTTTTTAAAAATATGCCCCAGAAAATATTTTCTGAGAATTTCTTTAAGATGAAATTTGTAACAAAAGTAATCTCTATAGTCAGTACAAAGAAACTCCTGTGCATTTTAAAATTTGCTTTGGAAAGAGGGTTAATAATGTATTAATTGCTAATCATTTTTCCTGAGAATAAAGCATCTCATTATAACTATGTTACCTTTCTTAACTTTCTGAAGTTGATATTTATCTATTGTTTATTTACCTGTGTGAGATACAAAATTATTGTTTATAATGCATTTGGGTACCAATTAAATGCTATTAGTCACTAGTTATTTATAACTTCAATAACAGATCGAAGAAATACAAATAGGGTGGGATGCCTGGATGGCTCAGTTGGTAGAGCATTCAACTCTTGATCTTGCGGTTGTGAGTTCAAGCCCCATATTGGGTGTGGAGATCACTTAAAAATAAAATCTTAAAAAAAAGAAAGAAATCCAAATAGGGTAATAAAAATATCTTACTTTATATTAAATACCTCTAAAGTTTATTTTAAAGTACTTTATTACAAGTATTGGAGTAGGGCTTTTCTAAGGTTTCATTAATAAATATGAGTGAATATCCATCATAAGAACACCTTAAAATTAGATGATTCATTTGTACTAAATGGAGGGCTCAGTGTTCCTTCTTGTCCTGTTCCCATTTCCTACCAAGCCCATCAAACTAATATAAACAGTGAAAGAACAGAATAACTTGCTTCAGTATACTGTGGTGTATTGTAGCCCTCTAAGCAAATAAAGCCCTCTAAGCAAATATGGCCTCCAGGATCTGACTCTGGAGTGCAGTCCACCTGAGTTTTTAAACAATACTTCCTTCTTTTAATTAGTAGGAAATTATGGCAGGTCTAAACACCCTCCACCTCACTCCTTAAGTAATTTACTGCCATCAGTTGACATGCTAACAGGCTTAAATCAATTAGAAACTATTATTGAGTCTTGACTTTAAATGAGTTATATCATCTTGAACAGTTCAAATTTATCCTGCCTGGGTTTTGCCAAATTTCTTGGATCTATTTTATGAGATTCTGGAAATTTTCATCAAATTTAGAAAATTTGGGGCCTTAGTTTTCTCAGGTATTTTCTGTTCTATTTCCTTTTCTGGGACTTCAATTACATGTATGGTAGGCCAATAGATTATCTCATAGATCACTGAGGCTCTTTCCCTGTTCTCCTCCCCCCAGTTTTTCCACTCTGCTTCATTATAGAGTCAATTGCTATGCTTTCAACTTCTCTGATCTTTTATCTGCAGTGTCTAACCTGAAAATTCCAGATACTGTATTTTTCATCTCTAGAAATTCCACTTGGTTCTTATAAATATCTTACCTTCCTGCCCTCATTATTTTCATGTTTTCCTTTAAATATTTGAACATTGTCATTGGTTAATTTGGGCATCTCTGTCATTTTTGGATTGGTTACTATTGACAATTTTTCTCTTGGTTTCTGGTTATTATTCATATTTCCCTCCTCATCATGTGAATGTTCAGTGTTGAGTATCTGAGTTCTGTTGTCTTCCTTTAAGGAATGCTAGACTGTTTTATCAGTTCCTTACAGGTAAGTTTGAGCCGTTCAAGGCTTTTGCTAGTTTGCTAGAGCAGGTCTAGAGTAGCCTTCATTCTGGGGATACTTTAACCCGACCACTGAGGCATGATCTTTTGGGTCTGTACTGAGTGACCCAGGTAATTGATGAGGACTGTTCCCTCTGGCTGTTCAGAGCTAGAAGGTCTCCCTGCCCTGTATTATTTCTGGGAACTGTTTACCTTACAATTCCCTGGTGCTTCTTTGCCTGGCTTTGTGAAGTTTGACTCCATATATGCAGACCTAGTTCTTAGCAAAGACTTAGGAGGACTCTTATGCAGATTTTTGGAGCTTTTTTTCTATGTAGGTTCCTTCTGGAACTCTTTCCTACATTTTCTAGTCACCTCCCACTCTTTCTTTCCAGCTCAGAAAGGCCATTGAGCTTTGTTTAGGTTATGCTTCCTTTTGTCTGTGTTGTCTAGAACGTGTGTGTAGACAGAGAGCCATGGCACTTGTGGGCTCATCATGCACTTCCCTCCCCTTGGGAATCAGTGCTGTGCTGCCTATTGCCCAGTGTCTGAAATAGTTTATAGTATCTACCTCCTGCCCCCAGTTTTCTAGTTGTTTATAACTGGAGGTTGAATCTAATCTTTATTACTCCAGTATGGCTGGAAGTAGAAATAAAATACATGTTTAATTTCCTTAAAATTATTACTTGAAACTGAAACAATTGAGGAAGATTGCTTATAGTAAATAGTTCTTTTCATCAGTCTTAGGAAATAACTCTTGAAGTTATTCTGTAACTGATAATAGCATACGGGAATTTAACTAAGACATGTTGGATTCAGTAAGAAAATAAAACCCAAAATCATTTTCAAATAATGATCAGAATTTGGATGAAGTAGATGTAAAAGGAATGGGTAAATAGGACTCTCATTACATACGTATATACATAGGTATAAAGAATCCATTAGTAATAAAAAGATCAAATAAAACATGAGACTAAAAATTATTCCCTGTCACTGGGCAGGGGGCTGCAGGGACCTGTCTGTTTTCCAAGAACCTTGATGATTGAGTGCCAGCACATTAAGGAATTGCAGAACTCTCAGCTCAGTATGATTATTTGGTACTATTATTTAGCTGCACTATTATCACTCTGTACTATAGTGAACTTAGACAAAATAATTTTACCAATTACTCTGTCATAAAAAGATTCAGCTGAAGAAATCTTTTTGGAAGCCTTATGGGATTGTTTTGTAATGTTTTTATTTATATTTGTCCAACTGTTTTTCCTATCATAAAATCACTTCAATTAGAATACTTATTAATTAATGGATTTAACGAGAAGCTGAGTTTAATTTCTGTGTTTTTTAAAATGATATTTTCCTTTACATTGGTGAAAAAGCAATGTTCCTTATTTTTCTTTGGAGTGGAGGCAATTCCCCATGACAGACTGATCTTTGAGACCTAGTGCTCTCTATATATAGAATATCTGTATCTATGTAGAATACATGGATATGCAATAAGCCAGGCCACTCAAAGTGCTTGTCCAGCATCAGATCCAATAGAGACTTGGTTCATCATAGGATGTTTTCACTTTTGATTTCCCAGCAAAAAAGCTTTGCAAAGAATATATAAGATAAGGATATTAGATGAGCTTCTCACAATAGGGCTATATAAATAGTTGTAATATAGCTGCAAGGAGGAGCTCAGACCTTTGAAACACTAATTTAGGGGAAGAGGTCATGTATGAGTCTACTTGCTACCACATGAGGCAGGTTTTCCAAAGCTTCAGTTTTTAGATTTTCTTGTCCTATTTCTTACTTTGTCATTAGCCCATCACACACTGGGCTGTGGCCTATGCTATGTAGGGTACTGCATGCCATTTGGAAAACAGTGCTTACCTGTATTTGGTTTGTCTGCTTTAGCTCTGTCTCCAGATGAAAAATACCTCTAATCTCATTAGACTCATGTCACATTACCATTAGGACTCTTTTCATTGATTGTTCAATTGTAGGCTCTGTGAAGGCAGAGACTTTCCCTGTTCATTCAGTATTAGTGGTGAGCATCTTAGACAGACATTAAGGTATAGCCATAGGATTAGCACACAGTGGACACTTAATAAATATTGGCCAAATAGACAAGTACAGTTTACAGTGTACCCCTAAATAAAGAACCATGCCTTTCACATATGTGGCAACTGAATTTAAAGCTTTCTCCCACAACTCATAGACAGAGGGCTAATATACCTAATAGGTAAAGAGGTCTATAGTCCACAGATTGGAAGTCTGAATGCTCTTAAGTATATGAAGGTAGGCACTCAACCTCACTTACAATAAAAATTTAAAAGACCATGTAACACTACAATGAGATACCAGTTGGCAAAATCCCCAGATTTTGATAGTTTGGAATTTTGTGTGTGGTTTGTTCATTGGTGAGATTATAAGGAAGTTTCTGTGTGTTTATGTGTGTTGCTGGTGGGTATGTAAAGAATCCCCATGGAGGTCAATTTAATAATACTTACTAAAAATCACAACTCTGTGTACTCTTAGACCCAGCAATTCTTGTTCTGAGAATTTATTCTACACTGATACTTGTACATGTGCTAAATGTGGTAGGCACAGAGTTAATGATTAAAGCACTTATTTTAGTTTATTTTTTTAATTTATTTTAAAGCACTAATTTTAACTACAAAACATTGAAAACAGTCTTGTCCATTATAAAGGGATTTTTTAAAAATTATGATACATACAAAATATGAACTACAGTTGGCCCTTGAACCGCACTGGTTTGAACTGTGCAGGTCTACTTATGCATGGATTTTGTTCAATAAATATATTGGAAAGTTTTTTGGAGATCTGTGACAATTTGAAAAAACTCTCAGATGAACCATGTAGCCTAGAAATACTGAAAAAATTAGAAAGGTATTGTTGTAAGAGTATAGTATATAATACATATATAAAATATTAATCGACTGCATTATATAATTGGAAAGTTTCCTGGTCAACAGTAAGCTATTAGTTCAGTTTTGGGGGAGTCAGAAGTTATTCATGGATTTTTGACTGTGCAGGGGGTCATTGTTCCTAACCTGTATTGTTCAAGGGTCAGTTGTACTTTGTAACTGTGGGGAAAAAAAATATGTACGAGTAGGGAAAAACTTCAGGATCCGTTAGTAAATGAAAAAAGGCCCAAGTGTCAAAAAGGTGTGTTTAATATGCTTTCATTTGTGTGAAAGAACATTTGGGTGGGGAGAGAATATGTATTTATATTTGCTTGTGTATATAAAAGACATGTTAGAAAGAATCACAAGCAACTAATAACAGCAGTTTCTTATGGCTGCAGCTGGGAACTAGGCAAATGGGGAATGTAGGTGGGAGGTAGATTTTGTTCTATATACCTTTTAAGTTTTCTTTTCTAACCATATATTGTCTTTTTAGATTATTATGAAACATTTTAAAATTAAATAAAATCCACCCTTCCCCACTAGAATAACAACAGTAATAATAGCAACAGAACTTTTTGCCTAGGAGTATTTTGAAAAGAAACTGGTAGTTGATGAAGGAGTTAATGCAAGTTCCCTTATCTGACCTTTCTTTGAAGTTGCTGAATAGAAGTTGGAAGTTGACCCCAGAGGTTCTCCTGATCATTGCTGTGAATTGGACAGTAGGAATACCTCTGCCCTGCTCCTGCTGGAGGCTGTGAAACAGAACAGCAGAGCTGGGAAGCAGGGCATGGAGGAAAGAGGAAACAGGAAAGAATGTGATAAAGAAGAAGGGAAGAAATTGGAAGTGATTAATGCTCACTGAATTACTAATTTGTTTTTGTTCCTATGAACTTACTCCCATAAAAAATCTATAAGAACTTATTTCCCACTTACAGTAATTGCATTAAACGATACGTAATCCAAGAGGCTTCAATATTTTTATTTTTTCTTAAATTTCTTTGTTATGGGAAGAGTTATTCATTATACGATTATACTTGAATATGTTCCTTTATGATAACTTGAGTCGTTATTGAACTTTCAAGTGCATATATAGTGGCATTTTTAACTGGTTGATATTTGCCTCCAATTTAAGGCTAATTGGCCTTGCCCTGTCTTTGCCTTACTTTCCTGTTTGAAGACATGACTTTTGAAGAGAAAAAGAACATCCTGAAGACAAGGTTGAAAACCCAAAATATCCTCCTTACTTCTCCTTCTGTGTCCTCCTGACCAGTCTGCCACTCCCCCATCTGCCACGCCCCTTTGAGAACGGCAGGGTATTTATTCTCTGTGTATTATTAAAAGTGTATTCTCTGTGCCGGCAGTCTTTGGTAATGTGATGTGGAAAAGGAAATATTGGTCTATCAGCAAATTAAAGCTCTACAGCCAAAGTGGGACGAAGTGTGACACATTTTTAGGTGGGGGAGCAGTAATAGGTTCAACCGATTTTTATTCTTGATTCAAAGTATATTCATAGTATTTTCCCCCCTTAGCATGGAGATACAAAACTCCTCACCGGGTGGCATTTGTTGAAAAGTTGACCAAGCTTGTTTTAAGTCAGCTGCCTAACTTCTGGAAACTCTGGATTTCATATGTTAATGGAAGCCTTTTCAGTGAGGTATGTATACAAATTTGACTGTAGATGTAGCTAAGTCATTGTGTATTCTAGTCTTAAAAATTTGATTTTGAAGTGACTTTTTTAAAACTTCGGAGGCCCAAAGCCCAAATTACCCATGTAATTATGGAATTTCCTAGTTGGAAATGATTTAAAGATCTCGTTTTCTAGTCCCCTGTGATCAGCCTGTAGAAGTTGTTACGAGCAGTTACATTTTCCCAAGTAACACATTCACTTGGTGTTTTAATCATAGGAATTATGGACAGAAAGTAATGACTCTGATTTTTGTAACTCAGACTCATCACTCTAGTGTCTCACTTCAAGTGCCCCACGAAAGGCCCCCAGATCCTGGAGTATAGACTCTAATGCCCTTTGCCTTGAGCTGCGAAGGAGCTCCCCACCTGTAACATGGAGAAGACCTCCCTGGTTTTGTGTCTCTATGTAGAACTCTTTGCAGCTCTGGGAGATGGGAGAGGTAGAAATCTTCCTGATGGTGGAAGCTATTTCCTGCTTTCTTGCACTTGCCAAAATAGAAAGTGGATATGGAAAAGGGCTAACTGGTTTTGTTTTTTTGCACAAAAGCACACCTTTGTGGTTCAAGACCTTTCTTCCTTCGCAGAAAGTGGTTGGGTGTCCAGGGGTCCATCCAGTCTCTCTTGATCCATGGACATTTATTCATGCTACTTTTAAAAGAAATATAATTGTCCTCTAGAATTGATTTTTTTTCCTTTGTATATTTAATTCTTATTTGCCCACTTTCTCTTTTCTTTTAAACCTAGTAGATTCCTAAATCCTTGTTCATATGAATGGTTAGTATTCTAAACCATAAAATTTACTTAGTGTAAGAAAAATGGAAAAACTATAGCACATGAAAAAACTGGTTACTACATAAAAATCAATTTCTTATTCATGAGTTATCACTGTATTTTTCTTCCTTTTCAGCAGTGTATCAGTTACTGTACTTTATAAGTAAACACTAAAATATAGTAACACATAATATATGTCTTTTGTCCTTTTTGTATTACTTGGTTATACAGAAACGCTATTGAAAAGTTAACTATACAGAGAAAGTCAGTCTTCCACAAAACAGATGTAGAGTTTGGCTGGCCTTCATAAATGCAAAGTTGATTGTTGCTGCTGAGAATGAGAATGCTTCATTTTTTTTCTCCTATAAATTTTTATTTAAATTCCAGTTACTTTACAGTGTAATATTGGTTTCTGGTGTAGAATTTAGTGATTCATCATTACATACAACACCTGGTGCTCAACTCCTTAATCCACATCACCTCTTTAACCCCCACCCTTGCCTCCAGTAACCATCAATTTGTTCTCTATAATTAAGAGTCTGTTTCTGGATTGACCTTTCTCCCCCCCCCCACCCCACCATGTTCATTTGTTTCAAAAATTCCACATATGAGTGAAGCCATATGCTATTTGTCTTTCTCTGACTGACTTATTTCACTTAGCATAATACTCCCCAGATCCATCCACATGCTTGCAAATGGCAAGATTTAATTGCTTTTTTTCACTAATATTCCACATCATCTTTTTTGTTTGTTTCAAATTTTTATTTAAATTCTAGTTAGCTAATATATAGTGTAATATTGGTTTTAGGAGTCAAATGTAGTGATTCATCACTTATATACAACACCCAGTGCTCATCACAACAGCAGCCTTCCTTAATACCCATCACCCATTTAGCCCATCCCCGGCCCACCTCCCCTCCAGTTGACCTTCAGTTTGTTCTCTCTACTCGCTTATAGTTTGTCTCCCTCTTTTTTTTTTCTTCCCTTCCTCTATATTCATCTGTTTTCTTTCTTAAATTCCACATATGAGTGAAATCATATGGTATTTGTCTTTCTCTGACTGACTTATTTTGTTTGCATGATACACCCTAGCTCTATCCACGTTGTTGCAAATGGCAAGATTTCCTTCTTTTTGGTGACTAAGTAATATTCCATTGTCTGTAAATACACTACATCTTCTTTATCCATTCATCAGTTGATGGACATAGTTTGCTATTGTTGATAGTACTGCTGTAACCATCACAATGCAGGTGCCCCTTCAAGTCAGTATGTTTGTATCCATTGGGTAAATACCTAGTAGTGCAACTGGTGGGTCATAGGTAGTTCTATTTTTAACTTTTTGAGGAAACTTCATACTGTTTTCCAGAGTGGTTGCACCAGTTTGCATTCCCACCAACAGTGCAAGAGGGTTTCCCTTTCTCTGCATCCTCATCAATACCTCTTGTTGCCTGTGTTGTCAATTTTAGCCGTTCTGACAGGTGTGAGATGGTATCTCATTGTGTCTTTGATTTGCATTTCCTTGATGATGAGTGATGTTGAGCATCTTTTCGTGTGTCTGTGAGCCATCTGTATGTATTCTTTGGAAAAATGTCTATTCATGTCTTCTGCCCATTTTTTAAATGGATTATTAATTTTTTGGGGGTGTTGAATTTTGTAAGTGCTTTGTATATTTTGGATAGTAACTCTTTATCAGATATGTCATTTGCAAATATCTTCTCCATTTCCATAGGTTGCCTTTTAGTTTTGTTGATTGTTTCCTTCTCTGTGCAGAAGCTTGTTATCTAAGTGTTTTATGTTTTTAGAGCATAGATCCTTTACCTCTTTGGGTAGGTTTATTCCTAAGTATTTTATGGGTTTTAGTACGATTGTAAATGGGATTGATTCCTTGATTTCTCTTTCTGCTACTTCATTGTTGGTGTATAGGAATGCAACAGACTTCTGTATATCTATTTTGTATCCTGCAATTTTACTGAGTTAATGTATCAGTTCTAGCAAGTTTTTGGTGGAGTCTTTTGGGTCTTCTCTATAGAGTATCCTGTCACCTGCAGATAACGAATGTTTGACTTCTTCCTTAGCAATTTAGATGCCTTTTATTTCTTTTTATTGTCTGATTGCTGAGGCTAGGACTTCCAGTACTATGTTAAGTAACAGTGGTGAGAGTGGATATCCCTGTCTTGTTCCTGACCATAGAGGAAAAGCTCTGAGTTTTTCCCCATTGAGGATTATATTAGCAGTGGATTTTCCATATATGGCCTTTATAATGTTGAGGTATGTTCCTTCTAAACCTGTTTTTTTGAGGGCTTTTATCATGAATGGATGTTGTACTTTGTCAAATGCTTTTTCTGCATCTATTGAAAGGATCATATGGTTCTTACCCTTTTTTTTATTAATGTGGTTTATCACATTGATTGATTTGTGAATATTGAACCAACTTACAGCCTAGGAATAAATCCCACTTGATTGTGGTGAAGGATTCTTTTAATGTATTGTTGGATTCAATTTGCTAGTATTTTGTTTAGAATTTTTGCATCCATGTTCATCAGGGATTTTGGCCTGTAATTCTTTTTTTTTTTTTTTTTAAGATTTTATTTATTTGACAGAGAGAGTGAACACGTGAGCACAAGCAGGGGGAGCATCAGGCAGAGGGAGAGCAGGCTCCCACTGAGCAAGGAGCCTGATGCGGGACTCGATCCCAGGACTCTGGGATCATGACCTGAGCCAAAGGCAGCCACTTAACTGACTGAGCCACCCAGGCGTCCTGTACTGCTCTTTTTTAGTGGAGTATTTATCTGGCTCTGGAATCAGGGTAATGCTGACCTCTTAGAATGAGTTTCGAAGTTTTCCTTCCATTTCTATTTTCTGGAATAATTTGAGAAGAATAGGTATTAATTGGTATTAAATGTTTGGTAGAATTCCACTGGAAAGCCATCTGGCCCTGGACTTTTGTTTGTTGGGAGATTTTTCATTACTGATTCAATTTCTTTGCTGGTTATCAGTCTGTTCAAGTATTCTCTTTCTTCCTATTTCAGTTTTGGTAGTTTATATGTGTCTAGGAATTTATCAATTTCTTCTAAGTTGTCCGATTTGTTGACATGTAATTTTTCATAATGTTCTCTTACAGTTGTTTGTATTTCTTAGTGTTATTTCTCCTCTCTCATTTGTGATTTTATTTATGGGTCCTTTCTCTTTTCTTTTTGATAGGTCTGGCTAGGGGTTTATCAACTTTATTAATTTTTTCAAAGAACCAGCTTCTGGTTTCATTAATCTGTTCCATGGTTTTTTCGTCTCTATATCATTTATTTCTGCTATAATCTTTATTATTTCCCTTTTTCTGCTGGCTTTCAGCTTCATTTGTTTTCTTTTTCTAGCTCCTTCAGGTGTAAATTTAAGTTGTTTATTTTTAGACTTTTCTTGCTTCTTGAGGTAGCCCTGTACTGCCATACACTTCCCTCTTAGGACCACTTTTGCTGTATCCCAAAGGTTATGGACCCTTGTGTTTTCATTTTTGTTGGTTTCCATGTATTTTTTAAATTTCTTCTTTGATTTCCTGGTTCACCCATTCATTCTTTAGTAGTATGTTATTTAACCAACATGTATTTGTGGTCTTTCCAAATTTTTTTCTTGTGGTTGACTTCAAGTTTCATGGTGTTGTGGTCTGAAAATATGCATGGTATGATCTCACCTTTTTTGTACTTGTTGAGGCCTGATTTGTGACCTAGTATGTAATCTGTTCTGGAGAATGCCCCAAGTGCACTTGAAAAGAATGTATATTCTGTTGCTTTAGGATGAAAAGTTCTGAATATATCTGTTAAGTCCATCTGGTCCAGTGTGTCTTTCAAAGCTATTGCTTCCTTTTGATTTTCTGCTTAGATGATCTGTCCATTGATGTAAGTGGGGTGTTAACATCCCCTACTATTATTGTATTATTATCAAAGAGTTCCTTTATGGTTGCTATTGTTTTATGTATTTGGATGCTCCCATGTTGGGCATATAAATTTTTACAGTTGTTAGATCTTGTTGGATAGACCTCTTTATTATGAAATAGTGCTCTTCTTCATCCCTTATTACAGTGTTTGGTTTAAAATCTAGTATATCTGATATAAGTATGTCTGCTCAGGCTTTCTTTCTTTTGGTGTCCATTAGCCTGATAAATGCTTTTCCATCCCCTCACTTTTTCTCTTTTCTTTTCTTTCTTTT